GGTCTGTAAATATTTTCACAGCCCTCACTTTGACTTGTGCAATATACAGGTCTTCAATGGAAGGCAGGTCGGTAGCAATTGTTTTTTCTGCAATCCTAATTATCCTCTGAAGTCTGTATCTGTCTTGTTGGGTTGCAGTTACTGAGGTCCAGATGACAGACTCAATAATTCCTCTGTAGAACTGTATCAGCAGCTCCTTGGGCAGTTTGAGCTTTCTGAGTTGGCGCAGAAAGAACATTCTTTGTTGTGCTTTTTTGATGATATTTTTGATGTTAGGTGTCCATTTCAGGTCTTGAGATACAATAGAATCTAAAAATTTGAAGGTCTCTACTGTTGACACTGTGTTGTCTAGAGATGGTAGCATGGGAGGGTTTCTCCTAAAGTCTACCACCATTTCTACGGTTTTGAGTGTGTTCAGTTCCAGATTGTTTCGGTCACACCATGAGGCAAATAGTTCAACCTCCCATCTGTATGAGGATTCATCATTGTCTCGAATGAGACCAATCACTGTTGTATCATCTGCAAACTTCAGAAGTTTAACAGATGCATCAAGGTTTTTACTATTTGCAACAAAGGGATCTATTTTAATTTGTTTCTTTCTTTATTGCATTTGTTTATAGTAACAAGCAGGCCCCTCCTGGTAAAAAACACCAGGGAGCAGATGGGAACGCTCAGTCCCTTCAGGTGCTTTTACTACTAAATATGTGTACTTAGCATCTGTTGCCATTTGCTAGTGTTCTTTTAAATATGAAGTGTCAGAACGGGAGATTTAAAGAATCAGGCTTCAACTGAATGTAGCCTGCAACCTATATGAGAAGGAAGCCTGCCATTCACAGTGGGTCTAGGACAACTTGTTGTGGCTATCTTGCCACTGCCAATTCGCCATGGGACAGTTCTTGTGGATAGTTCTTGTGGACAGTTCCACATGGGATAATTCAATGCAATAAATGTTATCAGCCACTGTTTTTTGATATTATTTCCCTTTTGTCAATGGCGGATAAAATTTATTGCGTTGAGTTAACCTGTGTGGAATTGCCTGCAGTGAGTTGTCCCAGCGAAGATGTCTGTGGCGTGATAGACACGTAGAGTTGGCCACAGTGAGTTGTCCCATTCTGTTCACATCATCAGCCAAGTTTCTCTTTGACAGTCTTCTGTTGAGATCTGACTATGGCTGGGGAAAATTTAAAAAAAATAACAAAAGGCATTTCTTCTCTAAGCTTTATTTTAATGCAAAATAAAAATGTCCAAAATCTATATGGCATCCAGTATCTATATATATATAACAGCTCAAACTTATTTTTCTAACATTCAAATTAATGATCTCTCAAATTTCTCCTTCCCCCCAATAATTTCCCCAAACTTTTAATGTTTCAGCTCACACAAATATAGATTTGTTCTTTAAAAAATCTAAATATAAAAGAAAGGTCACCCAGTGTGCAAACCAGAGCAATTCCCATGATAGCTCCACCACTAATGCTTGTAGAATTTTACCAAAAATAAACCTGAAATGAATGGCTTGTATGCTGAGGGTCAAAACAAGCAGCACTCAAGTGCACAAATCACCTTCCCAGGTTCTCTGAACAAGGGCCTGATATGGGAAGGCATGGGCTGCCCTAAGAGATAAGTGAACTTATAGAACATTTTTCACTAGGAGAAAAGAATGGTTTTTGCTCTAGGCATAACTATGCAGGATGTGAAATTGTTTCTGGCTCTGGATTTTAGCTGGGAGAGGAGTTTAGAGATACATTTGGAGAAGGGGGCTTTCCTAAAACTTTTATATTGCTCAGCCACCATTTTCATTCAGGTTTTCAGAGCTAGCTCCTTCTTTTGGGATTCTACAGGTGGTCATAGTTACACATCCAATTCAGGCTTTTTAAAAGTATCACCAATAATTTGGTAGACAGTACAGTGGTATTTCTAGTTACTTTAGAAGATTCCAATCAATCTTCTGTGGCTGATAAGCTTGCCCAATATTTAAGTTTGGTTGCCCACTGTTAGCAGCTTTTCAACCCTACTAAATGATTATCAATTGAATGTTTCCCTCTTGAGTGTATCAATTGTTCAAAATAAAGTTTGCCTGTAGAATCATTCTTTAGCCAGCTTTTAAAGAAAGCATCAATAAGAAGCAATTCCTTAGCCTTTTTTGGGGGGTTAAGCTGGAAATGGGTCAAAATAAATGTTGAGTAAATGTAAAAATAGTAAAACTATTGCAATACATTGCTTTTGGATTAGTAATTCTTCTGATTTGCATTTGTATAAATCCTGGGATTGCTTTCCCACTTTATTAGATTAGTTCTCCTGCATCCTCTTCCTCCTTTTCTAGAAAAGTGAGATTGAAATGAGGGCATAGAAGAAGGTTTCATTTGGTTTTCTGCCTAGAAAGGGATCCATACTTTAAAAGCCATTTTACAAGTGGTTCCTGCTGGACTGGTAGTTTTTTTTAAAGCAAATGAATGCAAAGTATATTAGAATATAAATGAATTTTTGCTGGTCAATAATATTTTTATTTATCTATTTAGATAATTTATATGGCTTCCCAAATGTATACCTGCAAAGGGAAAAAGAGCAGCTATTTTCTTAATAGCTGATGCTGGTTTTTATTATGCTTTTTCAAGGGGTATATTGTCATCTATCAGCTATAGCACCTTGTGATGTAAGTGTGTGCTACACTTTTTTCTGCAATATGGTGCTGAGAAAGTTTCCACAACCGTTCTCTGATGAACACGTACCTCTTGAAATCAATTAACACATCCACATGTTTTTCCCAAGTCAGAATCCTGGCTTTCTGGACTGAGGAGGATGGCATGTAATTCTTTTGCACTTTTTCTCACACTCAACCCAAGAATTTTCATTTTTCTTGCACCTGCACAAAACACCTCTATAGTGTTGTGCTGCATCTATTATTTTGTAACAGGGAATAAATTCCCTTACTGATCCAAAAAAGAGACACTGTTTAATAAGCTACTGGTTAAGATTAACAGCCCGGAAAATCTACTTTTGACCTGCCTGACTTGCTCTATCAAATTGGGCCATTGTAGTCAATGGGAGTTTTCAGATGGGATTTGCAGCTGCACAGGAATAATTGAGCACCAGGCTCAAAATGATTAATAACCTAGACGACTTTTTTCATCCTTTTAGCTTTGTTTCTGAAATGCTGTCAGTTATCTTTGTCAAGGGTAGGATAAAGTTTAGCAGCATTGATTTATAAGGTGAGATTTGTCTTTCAAGGCTATTTTTAATTATGATTAGGCTTGAGAAAGCCAGTGTCATCAACATTTCTTGTTACTACCCAAGGAGACCTTTGCATTATAACTTAGGGTCATTAAAAAAAAGAAAAGCACATTAAAATAGTTTCATTTCACTTCTGATTGTTTGTCTGCATCTACTGCATTCTTGCCAAATATATTCATTTAAAAATATAGATTTTTTAAATAGAAATCGAAGGCTTTATACTTGAATCAGAATCAGAGGCCTAATCCTTGAAGAAGAAAGTAAATCTGTCTCAACCTTGGAATGGCTACCCCAAAATTTAGAATTCTTGAATATTCCTACTCAAATAGATGTCCACATCTGTTCCATGCACAACAATTAGGGAAAACATAAACTGAATTTAGTCCAGGGAACTTTACTCGCAGATTAAATAAGACAACCAACATCACTTCTGAATTATGTTGAGGCCTCATTAAAACTAAGGAGATTATAAAAAGGAAGTATTGGCAGTTCCAAACAAAGAGTTGAATTTGGATGTGTTTCTTGTTGCATGTAAGTTATAAATATGCTAAATACCTGACATGATTTACAAAGATGAAAAGAAGAATACACACACACACACACTACACACATTAAGGAAATCCATCTATTGTAGGATGACAAATTAGCCAGAAAAATAAAATCTGATATAAAAAGAAATTGTCTGCCTGAATCACAAGTATGTGCAAAGTCACTATATACTGGTGTTCACAATATGCAATTTTTCCATTCTCACTGCAATAGTTCAACTCAATATGGATTTCTGAAAATGTTGGCTTAACAAAAGTGAGTAAGTTATCAATTTCAGACGTGATTACATAGAGGTGGGTAGGGAGAATTAACTGCTTAAAATGGCATGAATAAGTTTTGTTCATTTATATAAATAGATTTTTCGAAGGAAGGATCAATGTAGTCTTCCAATTCCTTGCAATGGATTCTTGATTAATCATTCAGGGCCAGTTGAAATTAAGTTCATCTACTGGAAATAGATAATTGGCCTTTGAATGGCCATAAAACTCTGAATTTTAGGGGAAAACTTCAACACATGTGCATACACTATGTGTGTTACAAAAATCACTTCTTGGAGACATTCCCCTATTAAAATGATTATACTTGCTATTTCTCTTTACTTGGAGGCTTTCCACTTAGCCCCATGTTCTCATATATTTAATGGGTAGTTTTGGAAAAAGGCTATGACCTTCAACCTTGATTCAAAATCACTATAGTACCTCATAGTTTCTGAATATGAATGCATAAGAAATCAGGGCTGCATTCACACCAAGCTGCTGACTCTTTCTGGGACATTAGAGAAACTGACCCTCTAAAATATAGTAATACAAATTTGTGTACATAATGAATACTCTATAAACCAAATCTCTTGAGGATACCTGGTGCAATGAAGCCATTTCAGAAAGGCTAAATGATAAATGGCTCTGCCTGCTTGATGCCCCCTTTGAGCAATATATAATAATTATTAAATGACCTCTATAATGAATCTTGTTAATTTGCTGCATACCAAAATAAAACCCAAGGATTTTTCAACTCTTTTCTGTGGCCAAGGCAAGCCCAAAATCTTTCATTTGGAAGGAAAAGGGCTGTAACAGAGACTTAAAATGAGTCCCCAGACAGTGTTTGGAATTTAAAAAATATATGCTGAAGCTATTAGAGACTTTTTAGGGAAGCTTTTAGAGACTGAAGCAAGTCTCAGAAGTTTCATTAGTCCTAAGTGGCAAACCACTTGCGTTTTACAGAAGTGTGCAAAGTTTGTCATTTCCCTTCTTTTCTTATAGACACATTCATCACAACTACAGTACACTATGATTCAGGGCATCCATGGAGACAAGAGGTAAAAACTATCAAAATGGTAGCTTTGACTGTTCAGTTGCAGCTGCCATTTTGATTTTTTGACACCTCACCCTTTTCTTCCATTCTGGATATTCCTACCATGATTCTACCTCAGTGGAACCTGCGTTATGCTCAGATCTCTCACTTGATAATTATACTATTATTATTTCTTTTTTCTCCTTTTTAAATCTAGAATTCTCCAACGCCCCCAAAGATCTAAATACTGTAATCCTTGGCATTTAACAAACCTTTCCTCTGCTAAGCCCTCTAGGAGTAGACAAGGGCTGCTTTGCACAGTTGACTTAAACAAATAACTAACAAATAGCAGTCTAACAGTTACCCAAGTGATTGAAAATAATTTGTTTTCTGATAGGGCCATGAGGAAGGATGGTGGTCTAGCAAAAATGAGTTCCTAAAAACACAATATTCCACAGACATCTTGCAATCTTTTTGATTTAGAGTTGTGACTAGGGAAACAAATAGTAGTAAAATATCACCAGAGCATAAACTGATAACTGCATCCTACTATATAATTATTAAGTACAAGCTCCATTGGTATCAATGGAGAATCAGCTCTCTTAAGACATAAAGACACCTAGTCATCCACACACATCAATATACTGGCATAGAAATGAACTCAATCTTGTAATAGTTGTGAAATCAGAGGTAGGAAATTACATACTGAGCCCTTTTGTATTTCCTTCCAGAAACCTTACAATGCAACACTGTATGGTGCTCTTGGGCATCTTTTAAATTTGTCCATCTGCTCTTGTTATTAGAAAACAGAGAAAAGAAGAGGAGAAAAATGGCTTCAGAACTGAAGCATCCTTGTAAGCAGCTGAAAAGAATATTAATAAAGGATTCAGAGATGAGGACAATAACAAGTTCCAGGTCATACTTTGAAAGGAATACATTTCAATGATACTGCAGAATATTTCCAAATTTTCAGTTCAGAGGAAGTCTTAGTAAAGAACCTGCATCCTGATTGTACCCTTATGTGCCGTTTCTATAATCATTTTCTCTCCCCCTCTCTCCAAGACAATTTGACTTTCTTTTTTGTGCCTGTGTGCAAATAGCCCTGAGTGACACTTTGTGATGTGCATAGAAATACTGCTGAGTACTACCATCCTGTTTAAGCACTTTAAAAAACTCTCTTACTCTTCAATACTTAAAGGACATGTACCATTTATATGAGCAATACAGTACATGTTCTGATCACATGGCCAGAGTTAATGACTTATAGCATCTTCATAGCATCACCCAGCCAGTGCTGAAGAAATATAAAGCTTGTCTTTATTACTGGTTTGTTGGCAAAATAATGGGTGGGTGACTCTAGTATATGCAATAGGTTGATAGTGCAGAAATGACTTCTGAGGGACTAACTGTAAGATGAAGTCAACAAAAAAATATCAACAACAGTCCAGCTTTCAATTATACAGCTGCAGTCACAGAGTCCTTCTGCCTTGGATCTTGAGACCTACATTGGTACTGATCAGGAGTGCTTTGTCGGTGTTCTATTCTGGCCACCTCATTATAAGGTGGAGCTCTGTGGCCTTGTGGTGGCGATGGTGGTACATCTTGACGGAGAGGTCTTTTGTGATGAATTACTGGCTGTGGTGGAAAATACTGTGAATACCGTAACTCTGTTGCTCTTGGGCCATCTGGTGGATGAAGGTAGCTCCCTTTGGAGGGATGAACTGCAGATTGGCTTGCAGGAGGGTAGGGAAGATCTCTTTCTTTGTTTGCTATCCGTAGCCCTGTTAAATATTCCATTGGTTCTACAGATCCATGCCTAGGAAGAAAAATAGAAAGGGGGGTGGGGGGAGAAGCTGTCAGTAAAAAGTCTTGCATCACCTTCATCTAAAATGCAACAATTGTTTTAGGCAAGGAATATCACTTCCACTAACTTACAAAAGTCCCACAGAATAGAAACTGAAGCTCTGGACTGGTAAAATACAAGAAAGCCAGTGGAAAAATCCAGCCTCCACATATTGCAGCTTCTTCATCAAAAAGTTCAAGCTGTTCATGATTCATTTGCAAAACTGTACTGAAAGCACTTTCTTTTTTTTTGTAAGAAAGTAAAGTCTTTTTAATAAAGCATGTTTGTGTCTTGTCTAGCCTGAAGATATACTGATGAGTTTGGTCTGTATCCCAGCAACACATAAGGCTCATGTACAATTCACACCTCAAAGCTGATTTGCCCATGTTCTCACATCAAACATGCCACTCTTGAGGGTCCACAGTTAGAAATTCCCATTAAAATATTAAAGATATGAGGATATAGTATCTGTGTTTAATGAGCTAGCTGTTGATAACATGTGTGCAGCAACTATGTAACCTGTGGATATGTGTATGATCTTGTATGTGCTTCTCAACTTGTTTGCATTCATGTATATTTGACAAGATTTGGATCATTGGAAAACTCATGTCATGGACTGCCAGGGGAGGGCTGATGATGGGGTCATTCCAAAGGTTTTCTGCCCAAAATTTGGATTTACATTAAAGAGATATTCTCCCTAAAGCCAGGACAAATGATACATGGAATAAAGAAGTGTTGTATCTAGATGTCAACTCCAGCATGATGAAAGTTTGACCTATTAAGAACAGTTCTCTGAAGAGTGAAATGTTTTTTCAGTTACAGAAAGAACTTTGGCTGTCTTTGAACTGACTTGCTGACTGCAATATTGAAAAACCAAAAGAGTTCATGTCTTAGTATTAGGTTATCAAATCTGACAAGTCATATTTCCCACCCTTTCATAAACTCAGACAGTGTTTCAAATGTTGTATTCTGCTAAATTTGTGTAATTCATGTAATTTGTGCAATTACGTTTCATGCATTTGATCCAGTTTGCCAAAGAAAAAAGTGAAGCACCAGAGAATAGCCAAGGGAGAGCTTCTCCTAGGAGTAGAGAAACCATAAGACAAATCCACCCTAAGCAAAAGTGAGAATATTATGCTTACAGATTTTTTTTTCTAAAAGAGGCAAGGGAGCTGTAGTGGGTGGGCAAAGATTCAAAGTGAGTATGAAACAGATGGATGGACAGAAAGAAAGAAAGATAATCAGCCTAATCAACAAAATAGATACAAACTCAAGGTTAACCACACCAAACTTGACTCCAGAAAATACGACTTCAGCAACAGAGTGGTCAATGTTTGGAATACTCTACCTGACTCTGTGGTTTCTTCCCCAAACCCCAAAAACTTTTACCTTAGACTGTCTACTATTGATCTCACCCCCTTCCTAAGAGGCCTGTAGGGGCATGCATAAGCACACCAGTCGTGCCTACCATCCCTGTCCTATTGTTTTTTATTTTTCTTATAAGTATCTATCTCATGTATTTAAAATTATATTTATTCTTATACCTTACAAAACTTATTCAGGCCCATATCTTTATTGAATGCCGATTATAAAATATTTGTGACCATAATAGCAAATAGATTGAAGAGATTACTGAATCAATATATCCATTCGGACCAAAATGGATTTTTGCCATCTAGATATATTAGGAATAATTTAAAAATAGTATTAGACATTTTGGAGTACTACAAAGCTCACCCGGAGAAACGAATGGCCCTTGTCTTTCTGGATGCCCAGAAGGCGTTCAATAATCTAAATTGTAAATGTATGATACAGAAAATTTATAATATGAATCTAGGAACCAAATTCAAGAATATAATAAACACAATATACTCCACCCAAAAGGCAAGTATTATGATAAATGGCGAAAATACACAGAATTTAAAAATTAGGAAACGAGTAAGACAAGGTTGTCCTGTTACCTCTGCTTTTTATCTTGTCGCTAGAGACCTTACTAAGGCGAATTAGACAGAACCTGGGAATAAAAGGAACCAAAGTCAAAAAGGAAGAATATAAACTGCAAGCCTTTGCAGATGATATGGTGTTCTTTATTGATCCTATAGAGACAGGGGAGGAGATAATCAGAGAATTGGAAAGATATGGGTCTTAAAATCAATAGACAGAAAACAAAACTTTTAACTAAAAACTTAATGGAATTACAAAAAATAGAATTAGAAAAGGTAATGGGACTATAAGTAACAAAGAAAATTAAATATTTAGATATATGGCTGATGGCACAATATATAACAATAAAGGAGAATAATTACAATAAATTCAAACAACAAACAAAGAAAGATTTAGACTTATGGTCCAAATTACAACTGTTAGCGGCTGTTACATTGTTAGCGGCTATTAAAATGTCCATATTACCTAAATTTTTGTATTTATTTCAGACAGTCCCCATCAAGTTAGAAAAAACTTTATTTAGTGAGATTAATAAAATTATGGCAAAATTCATTTGGTTAGGCAAAAAATCTAGAATAAAGATGAAGGTACTACAAGATATCAAAAGCAGAGGGGGACTTGGACTTCCAAATTGGGAGCTATATTATAATGCAACAACGTTAATTTGGATTAAAGAATGGATCAATCCAGGGGTGGGTTTCTACCGGTTCTGTCCACCTCTGTAGAACTGGTACCTCTAAAGAGCAGCAGACATAGAACTGGTTCTATGTCTGCTGATGTTTTTGCCCACCCAGCCACCCGGGCTCTTACCTGATCTTTATTTCCTGATTTTTCAACTTCAGCTGCCAAACGAGGCACAGCTGCAGTTAAAAAAACAAGAAATGAGGGCTGTTTCAAAGGCTGCTTCTCGGCATGCAGCGTGCTAATGATGATTAACAGGTGTGTGGCTCAGAGCGGGCAGGGAAGCTTGTAAATCCTGAACTGGTAGTTAACCCTGTCATATCCCACCCCTGGATCAATCTAACTAACAAACAAATATTAAGCTTAGAGGGCCATGACCTGCAAAGAGGATGACATGCCTTTTTGTGGGATATAGGAATGAAAAAACAACAATATTTTCATAGGCACTTGATTAGAGATTCCCTACTACAAAATTGGATTAAAATTAGAAAGAAACATTATATGAAAATTCCAATCTGGAAGCCATGATACACCCATGGAAGCCATGATACACCCAAACAATTTAGACCTAGGCAAAATGATAAAATATAAAGATGTTCTAGATGTACAAGGAAATTTAAAATCAATCCAAGACCTTCAAAAACAAGGGATATATAGAGATTGGTGGGCGTACCTACAGCTACAAAATAGGTATAAAAAAGGTAAAGAAGATCATGGAATATATTCAGAATTACAACAATTGGATAAAATTTGAACAGGCCCAGATAAAAAAAATATTACAAATATCTATAAATATATATTAGACATAGAATTGGAAGAAGAGGTGGTTAAGGGATGTATGATAGCCTGGGCTCAAAATATTGGACATAATATAAATTTGATAGAGTGGGAGAATATTTGCAATCTAAATTATAAATTAACAAAATTGGCCTCATATAAAGAGAACATCTATAAGATGTTTTATAGATGGCTCCTGCCCCCTGCGAGATTGGCAAAGATATATCCTAACATGAATCCAGCATGTTGGAAATGTAAGAAGAAAGAAGGTACTTTTTATCATATATGGTGGTCTTGTTAAGAAGCCCAGAAATATTGGCTTAAAATTCAAAAATGGTTACAAGAGATCCTCAAGGAACAAATAGATTTGGAACCAGAATTATTTTTATTAAGGATGATTAAAAAGAAATATGGAAAAAATACAAAATATACCATATTACATATTTTAACAGCTGCTAGAATTGCCTATGCTCAATGTTGGAAACAGAATTCTATACCAACAGATCAATTGATTATTCAAAAACTAATGGCGTGTGCTGAGATGGATAAATTAACCCTGATGTTACAAGAGAAAGAGAAGTCTGAATATTATAGAATTTGGGAAAAATTGTATGATTGGATTGAATTAGAACAAAGAGATGATGAAAACAGTTAATGATAAGCATTTTACAGATTAAAGGTTTATATTTGCATGAACTGTATATATTTGTAAATAGGCACAAAATAGAAGTATATGAGATAGATGTCACACACTGTTAATGTCATAACATTTATATTTTTGTTGGGTTTTTAAAGATATAAAAGACTAATAAAGTTTATTATAAAAAAAAAGAAAAAGGATTTTAGACTTCCTAGAGAATGACACCAATTATCCCAAATTGCCATCACTTCCAAGCCTAAAAGGAGACCAAAATTTGAGTCTTCCCATTCCTAGTGCAGTTCTTTAACCAATCTCTCTCTCTCTCTCTCTCTCTCTCTCTCTCTCTCTCTCTCTCTCTCTCACACACACACACACACACACACACACACACACACACACACACAGATAATTTTATGTTTCTTCTTAAACTAGAAGGGAAAGGAGTTTGAATGTAGTTAGTCTGTGGTGTTTTAGTTGATCCTTGATGCAAAAGCCATGCATTGTTAGAGTTCCATCTGTAGGAGAAAATTACTAGTTCAAGTCATCTAGAGCTTTGGGCTACAGAGCCATTCAAAGGAGAGCTCTACTTCTGAGGACCCAGATAGTTGGGGGCAATATGCTGACTCTGTAAACCATTTAGAGAGGGCTGTAAAGTATTGTGAAGCGGTATATAAGTGCTATTGCTATTCTCTTTTTTAGAAAAGTGACAGAAAAATTGAGCCTCTGTTGGCAGTTTATAATTAGCTTAAAGTGGTTCTTTGATCTGGCTTTCTTACTAGATGTGCAGGTGGAATGTATATTTCCTTTTTGTGGTTTTTTTTTTTTTGTGGTTTTTGCTTTGTCAGGCACAGCCATCTTGATAAAGATGGACCTTGTCAGTCATGTCTTAGCTAACTCCAGCTTAGATTACTGTCACATGAAATGTGCTCCC